AATGCAGGCACGGTACGCAAATTCACCAATCGTGATATTATAATTAATACAAAATTGTGTTAATTGGTTTGTTGTGAAAACAAAAGACGCCCTTAAAAACGAGTTTAAAGCAAGTTATAAACGTACATTTGCAATATAACCTATGAATCAAACGCAGACATTATCTCCACCACGTCTTTGTTATGTTAGTGAGAGTATATAATTGAGAAACTTTTATACAGTTTGTTGAGGCAAATCTTATTAATATAGTCTATTGCTAATTGTTACGTTATTGCGTGTTCGTATGTTGACATTAATATTACGCATCAAAGTTGTAGATTGGGCATTTCTTTATCAAATGCCCAATCTTACCGTTTACGGCAAATAGACGACCATAAAATCTCTCACAGATCACTTCCTTTTATATTTTAATCCTTAAATAGGACCTCATATTTGGCATACTAATACTGTTGTAGTCTGCACGTTTTGCAATATATCGGAGCATGATGGACGAGCTATAGTTTGGGTGGGATGGTTTTTTTTTCAAACCGTAATAGGAAAGCCGACAATGTTAAGTAAATGTTTAAACTTGTGACAATTTAACCTAATTTGACTGTCGGGTTGATCGTTGGCAGTTACACGAAGACTTGTGCTCCGGTCATAGTCATGGGATTTCCCTATTCACTTTGAAACCCTCGTTTTGAATAAGGTTTTTTTTTTTGAGTTTTCCGAATTTTGACAATTTCAATTTCAGCCAACATTTTGAGTAACATTGCCCCCCAAGATGTCAACTTTGCCAAGGCCCTGTGCTACAGCAACACAAAATCGCATGATAAGAACACTGTACCACGTCAGAATGTATATCTTTTTTTAGCACGCTTACAAAAAATTGCATGCCTGTCAAATATGGTAGCGTATCTATGAAGCTTAAATTAGTATGGTGTGGAGAAACAGCACAACAGATTTGTTTATGCAATTGACTATGAGAAGCGTTGCCATTGTATGTCTAACTTTGTTCAAAGAAACGCCACCTGTTGCAGACAAACCGAAAACGATAAGCAATTAATTAGCTCAGGTAAACAGATATGAGATAATCAAGCAGTAAAGATAATGTTCTATTGTCGAATGCTTATTTATCGGAACTGAACGTTTTCTTAAATCGGATTCTTATCATCATGCAACCAAGATACAAAGAGCTTCAAATATTGAGTAGCGGATGTGTTTACGCAATGTTGCTAAAGATAATGCAAATTTGTACGTATTATTCCATATGGGCTAATGGTTTATTTTTTGCGTAAATAATAGCCTTTGTTTATTGCAATTTCGTAGTAATAGAAGAAAGAGATAGTAAAACGTTAAAAAATGCTTGCTTAAATATAATTTTATTTTGTTATATGACGGAAATTTAAATTAAAGTTGCTAACTAAGAAAAATGTTGCTGTAAATGTAAACACAATTCTCGTTTTACAAGTTGCTTTGCATTTTTCGAACGCGTGACAGTGAATTGTTGATGGCTTTTTGCGTATCGGAATTAACAATGTAAAGGACAATGAAGAACGATTCATTAATGAGCCATACAAATTGCATTTGTGGTTATGAGTATTTGCGTATTTCAGAATCATTTCAAAGTTGCGTAATTATATATTATTTATCTTTGTAAACGTCAAGTTTTTCTACTATTAAATTTTTAAGTTTAAGTTTGGCCTTTTTTCGTTGACCAAAAATTTTGGGTTTTGCAACACTATTACTTCGAATGTCGTCATGTATGAATCGATCGCCAGAAACGACGTACTTGGATTTCTAATGGTAATACAACACGTTATGATAACTGTTTTACGGCGCTTATTGGACTAAGCCAAGTACAGAAAGTGGAACATTTGTCGCTGATTTTGCACGTGTAGTGTAGTAAAATAAACACAGCAAAAATTGTAAGTGCGAAGCATGCTAGGATAAATAATTTTTTAGAAAATATTTTAATATAAGTCAGCAAAAGTCATAAGAAGATACCGAGAGTGTGTTTTGAAAGAGATTAGGAGGAGTACCAGACTCTTTTATTGTCATCCGGAGAGAAAAATGTGGCGAGCCAGTTTGAGCTTTCCTATGCTTTTTTTCGATAATATAACACAAATATTTATAAACACAACTTACATTCTGCGTATACAGACTTTTGTCATTATGTTTTACAATTTTCTAATTCAATGATTACAACAATTTATTTAAATTAGATGCATTAATTTTACTTTTTTTTACCAGACCTTTTCAACAAACACACGTACCAATTTTTCTCATATGATTAAATTCCGTAATAATAATCGCTGCCATAATACACACAATTGCTATACCGAAAAAAGTTTTTGAAATTTTATACTTTCTCTGCTTATTACTTATTGTTTATAACTTTATCATTTATTACCCAGCTTAGGTTTAATACAAACTTTCAGTCAAATAACTATTTACTTATATTTCCGTATTGTTAGTTTTTCATTTGCAACCTCCGAACATGCATTATCTAAATTGCGAATCTCACCTCTGTCCATTAAGATTTTTGTCGTCTCCCTAATTGCTTAACCATACGCTTGCGAAAATTAATGTACTGCGCAGCAGGTCTTTTACTATGCAAGTTTTTAGACATATCAAAGTTTTCTTCTGGTTCAGTAAATTATTTAGCAATAATAATAATCATTAACGCTCTCAATGGTTGGTTAACAGTTGAATAACTCGTAAAAAATTGCCGTTTACCCAATCCGACTCATACTAGGCGAGACGTTATCCATACTCAGAAGCTGGCGACATTTAATAAGGTGTTTCAACCGTATTACAATCGTAGGTTTGTTCATAAGATAGGATAATAATTCGCATCTACCATTGTTGATAAATGGTGACTTCTGCACTTAACGTCATCAATATCAGTTCTCATGTTAGTTCAAAAAGTTAGTAAACGTGCTTTACAAAAAAACATATAAGTAGGACCATCCCTTTACGAGCTGACGGAAATATTTATACAAACATCTTTAACTCTCGCTCGTTTGTTGCTCTGTTACACTTAGTAATCGCCTTCAGCAAACATATCGCGCTCTGTTGTATTTATTTGTAAGTTTCTTATGCAAATTTACATCACTTTTTGTTGTATGAATATGATAGTTTTAACCTTAATATTAACGCACACACGGGCGTACGCTTATTGTAAACATTCGGGGATATAATATATTACATGCGTCCCGATCAAGCTATTCTCGATTATAATGTGCATTTGTTGTCCTTCCGTTACGTTCGACTGTATCGGTTTCAATAGCGAGTCGTTTGCAGGATGTAACAAGATTTTTTCGACACAAGTCTAACGGTGTTTTATTGTGATTAAATTTTATGTCCGATATATCATGCTTATTTTATAATTAATTTTAACTGTCATAACCAATAATCCAATAATAAACTTACCGTTCACCTATATGCAAAAATGTTCTTTATGAGAAGTTGATCCTTTATAAAGAGTTGTTACAGAAGAGTATAATATATAAAACATAATAGAAGAATTTTCTATAAATATGTGGCAACTATCATGGTAATAGTAACAATCATGAGAAATTAAAATGCCAATGTACACTTTCAATTTGATTAGCACCAAGATTCAAATTAATATGAGGCAAAGATGAATTTGATTCTAGAGCCTTTGCTAATGTTGTTGTTCCTGTATGTCCAATCAAGATATAAAGAAGTAAGAGATGAATTTGATTCTAGAGCTTTTGCCAATGCTGTTGCTCCTGCATCTCCAATCTGATTATTATCAAGATATAAAGAAGTAAGAGATGAATTTGATTCTAGAGCTTTTCCTAATGCTGTTACTCCTGCATCTCCAATCTGATTATAAGAAAGGTACAAAGAAGTCAGAGATGAATTTGATTCTAGAGCTTTTGCCAATGCTGTTGCTCCTGCATGTCCAATCAGATTATTAGCAAGATATAAAGAAGTCAGAGATGAATTTGATTCTAGAGCTTTTGCCAATGCTGTTGCTCCTGCATGTCCAATTTGATTAGAATCAAGATTCAAAGAAATCAGAGATGAATTTGATTCTAGAGCTTTTGCCAATGCTGTTGCTCCTGCATCTCCAATCTGATTATAAGAAAGATACAAAGAAGTAAGAGATAAATTTGATTCTAGTACTAGAGCTTTTGCCAATGCTGTTGCTCCTGCATGTCCAATCTGATTAGAATCAAGATTCAAAGAAGTCAGAGATGAATTTGATTCTAGAGCTTTTCCTAATGCTGTCACTCCTGCATCTCCAATCTGATTATAAGAAAGATACAAAGAAGTCAGAGATGAATCTGATTCTAGAGCTTTTGCCAATGCTGTTGCTCCTGCATGTCCAATCAGATTATTATCAATATATAAAGAAGTAAGAGATGAATTTGATTCTAGAGCTTTTGCCAATGCTGTTGCTCCTGCATGTCCAATCTGATTAGAATCAAGATTCAAAGAAGTCAGAGATAAATTTGATTCTAGTGCTTTTCCTAATGCTGTCACTCCTGCATCTCCAATCCAATTAGTATGCAGATTCAAAGAAGTCAGAGATGAATTTGATTCTAGAGCCTTTGCCAATGCTGTTGCTCCTGCATGTTTAATCCAATTATACCTAAGATTCAAAGAAGTCAGAGATGAATTTGATTCTAGAGCTTTTCCTAATGCTGTTACTCCTGCATCTCCTATATTATTAGAGAATAGATTCAAAGAAGTCAGAGATGAATTTGAATTTAGAGCTTCTGTCAATTCTGTCACTCCTGCATCTCCAATCCGATTAAACTCAAGATTCAAAGAAGTCAGAGATGAATTTGATTCTAGAGCTTTTGCCAATATTATTGCTTCTGCATCTCCAATATTATTAAAGACAAGTATCAAAGAAGTGATAGAAGGGTGTAATTTTAAAGTAGCAGACAGTGTTGTTACACTTTCATAATCTGGCTTATTACTATAAGAAAGGTCCAATGTTTCACCTTTTGACTGTTGGCTCTGATTATTAAATAATAATTCTAATTGTTTGTATATGCCTTCACATAATGGTCTTTTATCAGGACTTTCACTACAACATGTTGAGTACAACTGAATATATGTTTCTGGTGTTCCTGGAAATGGCAAATCTCGGTATCCATTTTTCCTATATTCTGCCACATTCATACATTTCTTACAAGGAATTTGCCCACTAGAAATTTCCCAGAGCAGCACCCCAAGACTGAAAACATCAGATTTCTTTCCCCGTTTATATAATGGAACTCTGAATGATAAGGGATCTCTGTATGCAGCAGCACCGTCTCCTATTGATGAGGACATAATCCGTCCAGATAGACCAAAATCAGAAATTTTGGCAATACCAGATTTAATAAGAACATTAAAGGAAGACTGTAAATAAGAATTAAAGAATGACATGTGTAAGCTTTTGTGGATAGTTAGGTTTATGTCAACAGTAACATAATTATGTATTACCAAATCTTTGTGGATAATATCAAGTTTATGCATATATCTTAAACCATTGGTTATCTGCAAGCCAAGTTCATACTTGTCTTTCCAAGTTAAACTATCAAAGTGCTGCATCAAGTGTTTACGCAAGGTTCCGCCATCAGCAAACTCGAAGACCATATGGTAAATATCGGTTTTGTCTTTTCGATTAAGAAATACGTAATATAATAATAAATAGTAAGTTACGTATAAGTTTAAATATTGGCAATGATGCAATCATACTTACATACACCTAAAAGTCTAATAATATTCGGATAACCGCTTACTTTCTTGTGATTTTTCAGCTATAATTGTTAATTATAGGTAAATAGTTGTACACGTAATAAACTCTATAGATGTGATGAGTATGTTAAAAGGTCGAGAATACCTCTTTGGCAAACTTCTTGTACAATTTTTCCTCATTACCGTGGGCATCCGGATATAACGTCTTAATGGCGACAGCCATTTTATTGCGTTTTATCGTTGCCTTATATACGACTCCAAAGGCCCCGCCAGCAATAGGCATATGACACATAGTAATGTCGCTTTCTGAATAACAGCGAATAGAACCCTGTTCAACACTTTTGTCTATCCATTCCTTATTATACACAATATTGGACTCTTCCTGCTGATTACGGATTACTTGAGATTGCAAAGATGCTTCATCAATATCCATAGGAGCACAATCGCTTTGTAGTGGAGACACTTGGTGATGGATGTTTCCTTGTAACTGAAACGAATATGATGAATAATGGTATGCAAAAAGTGAGCTTTGTACGGGCTGTTTCATAGTAAATCTATCTAGACGAACCTGTGACGGGTAATGCCCCGGAGAAACTCCAAACGTATTGGGCAGCGGGTTTTGTTTCTGTAATCCATGTTCAGATTGCATCGGCATGAATAATTCGTTCGATGTTTGTCCATCATGTTGCCTTGAATTCTGATACTGCGACGACCCTCCTCGTTGTTGATATTGCGTAAGCAGGTTTTGCCCAGCCAACGAAGTATCGTTCTGTTGCTGAATAAAACTTGGTAAGTAACGTTCATGCAAGCTCCGCCTACAACCGTCCAATACGTACCTGCGTTTGTTGTTCGCTTGCCGGATGCGAAATAGGATATGTTGGCAGACCAGTGGGTAATTGTAAGGAGCTATACGATGTTTCATATTGTTGTAACTGTCGCTGGGTCTCTATCTCTAGTGATCGCTGATTTGGGTCATCGGTGTAATCCGCAGACTGGTGGTATATGGTAGGATTACGCAAAGTATAGCGTTGTCGTTGCTGTTGTTGAGCAAAATGGTATGCGGTAGGATTACGCAAACGTGGTTGCTGCTGTTGCTCCTGTTGTTTCTCTTGTTCCTGCATCAATTCCTCTTGCTGAAAGGTGGTTGCGACCGACGTCATGTGTGGATCGACTAGATAATCACATACCCATACGCATTAGCCAATAATTATAATTCTATGGTATACAAAAGCAGACTGCAGAATTGTAACATCCACGATTTATTTATTTGGGTGACTTAATATAAATTAGTTCATTTCCTTTGGTTCTCATGATCAAATGTTTAGTCGCATCATGGAATAACAATTTTACGTTCAGCTTTCACGTCTGTTCTGTTATCAAACAATCTGTTTACTAAATAAACGTAAAACATTTTAAGTTTGACCATTTTCATTGTATATTATGGTCGCAGGAAAGCTGCTACTGTCAAAGAATTTAACTTAAAAACGACCGGGACCGTGTAATTTACAGTACTTACAAATACCTTTTCGGCACTTTCAACGGCAAATGAGACAGCTCTAGCTCGTAACAATAAATACTGACACTTGTTGAACCATCAACTTGTCTATTTTTGTTTACAAACCTTTTGTTTTAAATTTCTGCAAATAACTAAAAAAACTATTTTTTTTGGAAGGCTACGTTCCTTGCGTGGTTTATTAGGAATGTGCGGCGGCGTACAGAGATTAAATAAAGAAACTAATCTATTATTTAGACTACATTGGAAGTCTAGGTTATTAATATATTGGAACTTCTCTGGTTAATTGTAGAGCTTATTTTCGTGTTTGACGGGGGTTTGGGTTGGGTAAGTCGCTCAACTTTCGTTATTAATTTGGTTTAGCCGATATAACTGTGCTAGGTTCTGAGCAACTTGTTGTCGGTAGTGGTAGAAGCTTTTGACTTTTGGAAAGTTTGTCTCGAGTTTTATTAACAAATTGTATAATAATGCTATTTCTCGGAAACGATAATGGTTGATGTGTTTTTTTTGCGTTTCCATAATGATATTGTAAGAGATAAAAAAGGGTTATATATACTCATACTGATGCATAGGTTGTTTCATGTAGGTCGAGTGCACTCACTATTGAAATTTTGATCCCAATTTGTTCGATCATTGAGAGTTTGTTGTTGAACATTGTGTCAAACCATACGTCGACTTTGCGGAGAAACTGCTTCCGGAGACGTATTGCATTGACTATAAATATTGTCACTTTGTTAAAGTTGTTGTAACGATTGACCGGAGCCATGTATGCGCATAAGGCATTGACGTAGGCACTTTCGAAGAAATATTGCGTTTACTTGAATAGATTGTATTGTTAGCAAAAAATGTTACAAATATTAAGTATTTATGGTATAGAATTTGTATACGTACAAGTATTACATGTTGGTTACCGTGCCGGTTTTTTCTACTATGCCGTCGTGAAGAACGTGTTTGCAACAAGTTAAGGCATAGACTTCGAGATAGACGCAAATCAGCTTGTTTACAAAATTGAGGAAAATAATGTTTGCTTTAATCAAAATCGAAATGGTTTCAACCTTAGTTTCTTCTTTAGCGTCGTATATGTGGATGGCGGTAAAGTCACAGCGGACGAGCATTGCTAACTACCGGTTGTTGATATGAGTAAATAATGTGTTTGGGTTTATGTTTGTAAAGCAGGCTGTTGATTTTTTTTTAATTTGTTGTTGAGATAGTGTTGGTTTTATATACATAAAAGATGCATTTGTATAGTCGTAAACTGAGACATTTATTTACATTAACGAAAATTATAATGGGAAATTGACTGAAACAAGTTATTTGGTTTTGCTTACATTTTACACGTATAATACTTGATGTAAATATTTTACTGCTAATGCTTTTTTATAGACATCTAACTATACGGATACGAGCGCATACAGTATATTTTTGGATTGACGAAATTATGCGGTAAAGTTTTTGCATATCAACTCTATTTCACTGTTCTATGATAGTTTAATGTATTTGGGAAATAATACTATAGTTACGATAGGTGTTATATAAATGAAATTAAACAAAGAAACACTTTACAAGCTGTATACTAGTTTAAGCTGTTGTAAAATATTGAAATTAAGAATATTAAAGACAGTGTTAGTCCACCACAATAAGTCCGCTAATAACAAACAGCAACGTACAATTAAGAATGATTTAATTGTTAATTTATTACTAAACCAATTTTGCGTAATTAATTTGTATAAAACGTTTATTGCCATAATAGCAATTAAGTAATAACATAACTGGCGTGTTACGTAACGTATAATATGTAACGCTGTTAACATTTTTAAGATAACACAAACAAAAGTTTGACGTTGACCAGTAGTCAACCATGAACTATAAATAAAGTTTACTTTACACTTTGTTTCAACTAAAATCCATACACACTTGTCACAGAAAAAATAATACAAAACTTATCTTGTTTCTAAAAATTAAATAATTGTTTTAAGTATGCAAATTAAAGGTAGTAACAGTATATTGTTTTCATAATATACAAACCAATTAAAATAATCGTATTGTTCAAAATAACAAGCTATTCCGAATAAATTGTTTATTTTGTCAACGATTGTGAATAACACACTTTTTTAAATTGGCTAAACTGGTTAAGCATTTAAGTAGTAGACTAATTAATACGATATTACTGGATGAGATATCCGTTAAACCGTATTGATTCAAAGTTTTGACGTACGCTAGTATGACGCTTTAGAAAAATTTTCGCCAATAATAGTAGCCGCTTTTAACAATTATTCATACGTAATTCCGAATTAATTCCAAACATAAAAGCAAAATAACACTACAAAGTTTGTTTGTAAAAGATAAAAGTCAATGTAATACTGTTAATAAGCCGAAAGCCTCAACATAATAACAATGCAAAAATTTTTAACAAAAACTCAATATTTGCACTAATATCGAGCAACAAAATCGATAAAACTTTTACGACAAAAATTTATCTCGTACCATTGATAGTATCATATTGTAAGATTAAGGCAAAAAGCAAGACTGATACCGAGCAATCGCTAAATCATTGTGATGCTATAAGATAATGATAATTGCTTATAGAATAATATTAAATACGTGTATCTATAACAAGCATAGTAGATAGTAGAGCAATTATTGGGAAGAAATTTTATACAGAGCATTTCTTCTGCTGCGTGGTCAAGGACTAAATACAAACGCTAATGAAAATTATTCTTTTTTATTCGTGCGCTTACATTCCTTTGCACTAACACAATAATAAACATATTTAAAAATATAGTGATAGATTCTGATAACGAACTGGTGATTTACGTCAATAATAATAATCGAGTTTAATATTGCAAGATTCCTTAATAGAATCTTGATGGAACAATCAGTTTATGCAACACCGCCACACAACAAATTGATGTAGTCCATAAATAGCCTGATCTACAATAAGACTGTTACCCAAACATTTTTGTGTATGATCGTGATATCCAACCCCTTGTTATTATGCACAGTCCTTCCATCCGTCAAAAATGAGCGGTTCTTTACCTCCTGAACTGCTTACGATTATTCTAAATGAATGTATTAATGACAGAGAAACGCTTCATTCATGTATTCTAATCAACAAAGACTGGTCCAGACTGGCTGTTTTGTATCTCTGGGCCAACCCTTTCAAGCTCTTGTATAAGAAAAAGAAACGACGTGCGAAGCAACAGATAATCAAGCAAGGCGAAAATCTCATGACAACGTTTGTCGAAAGCTTTACCGACATGAACAAGATCTTGGACGGGTCCAGTACTCCAGACACTCATTACGACAGACGCTCGACATTTGATTACAGTTTATACTTGCAAGAACTCGATTTCGGATACATGAGAAGGGCAATGAATAACTGGCTGTCTATCCGAAAGATCAATGCATGCGAAGAGACACTGACGCTTCGTATTCTCATGTCGGTTATGCAACACAGTCCCCGATGGTATGCACTCTATTTGTATGTTACCAAGGCACAGGTTTGCACTCAATTGAGCAAATTCTTTACGTCAGTCCAGAGTTTACCGCAACTGAAGAAATTCGCATGGGCATCCGCGCGACCGTGCAACGAAGTTTTTGCTTCGCTTTCAAAAGTCGCACAAGACATGGAATCGATCACGATACATATCGAGAACTGCGACTATAAACAAAAATTACGGACCACGCTGGCAAGTTTTCTCTCTTCACAGCGTCAACTAAAATCCCTCAAATTTCGAAACCTGTTTTGGAACATGTCTTCAATCCTGCAACTGCTGAGCAGTAACGCGCACACGCTTGAATCGGTTTCGATCGAATCGATCGGGTCACGGTGTGACGATGAATATTCCAAGTTTATCCGGCTCCACACGCTAAAGAGTATTGATATAACTCAGCATTCGCATTTAAGCTTTTCACCGAACAATGTGCGATCATTAACAAAAGCCGATTTGCCGAATCTACAAAGTCTTGTATTAGCCGGAACTGGTTTTTCATCTGAAGTTTTGATGGCGATAATCCGCAAACATAAGAAGATGCTGACCACGTTAAAGATTGGGAATACGGTCGTTGATAGTTCAGTTTGTCTGACTATTCGAGAATCTTGCCAAAGTCTTGAAAACCTGTCAGTCGTCGTATCAGAGGCTAATATAGCGCCAGTCGCCGACATGATTGGAAATCTACCAAACTTGCATTCGGTAAAACTGACTTGGGATTTATTGGGATGGAAAACTGATGTGAACGAACTTTTCAATGCCCTTGCTTCTTACTATCTACCTTGTTTATACAAATTAGAAATAACTCAAATATTAGGGTTTCAACCTCAATCTCTACAGAACTTTTTATCAAAATCAAAACCTCCGCTTAAAGCGTTGATCCTTGACAATCGATATCATGTCGTCGATGAGCATCTTAAAGTAATATTAGATAATCTTGGTGATACACTTCGGTTGTTGAGACTTTATTACAACGATAAATGTAAAGGCCTTAGTGAGCAGCGTATTCGACAAGTAGCGCGCGTAGTAGGAAATTTCAAAAAGTTTGACGTTAAGGAGAAATTTAGCAATCAACAAAAGAGCATTTGAATAAACAGATAGTCGGAGTTTCCGTGTTAATCGTTTCCAAGTTTGTGTTGGTGCTTGCATGCATCGTAACCCGAAAGTTAATGATCACAAGTATGGCCCGATGCGCTTTCAAAATATTCGGCCTTTACACCTAGTGGCAGCAGCGTACTTTGGATACAAACACTCTCCAGAGTACCCAGTAAGAAATTTTTACATAATATCTTTGTTGGCTACGGAAAGCTTGTCTTTTGAGTCGTCGTTGGTGTGAGTTTTGTCAGATTGTTGGTTTTCGTGTCGTTTTAAGTAAACAGTCTTATTCAGTGTCAACTTTTTCACTGTGGTCACGTCAAAGGGCCAAAAATTCTTAGTTATGTGCCTCACAAGTAAAGAAAAACAAGGTTGCGTGTATCGAAAAATGTGATATAGGCACATGACACACAATTTCTCTTATTAACCAACCAAAATGGACGTTACGTAAAAGAAAAATTTAGCCTAATCGATGGCTGGTGCGTAATATAAAAATAATGTGCATAAGAATCACCATATAAATTTCAAAATTGACAACTTTCTAAAAAAATTTAATTAACTTACTCAATACAGTAAGTTAGCACTAAATTCTTGACAAATCTGTGACTTTATTTTTAATTATTTGGGGGTAAATTGAGTTATTATAAGAAAATTACAAAATTTAAAAATTTGCACATTGCTTGTATAAGGAAATGCCCTCCTAAAAAATAGTATTATTTTAAATAAATTTATATGTATGCGGATGTATTAGTATTAGATAAAGTGTAATTAAAAGACGTGTTTATTCTGGAAATTGACTGATGCAAACTACCTTATTTTACTATTATCATATATAACTATAAAGATATTATTGTTATCGTTTTGTAACAATTATAAATTCAATGACTTGTTCACCAATTAACGTGTTTACTGTACTCCAGAACATTCACGATATTATGTCATAGTAAACTTACTATTGATTAAAAGTCACAAATTTTTACACTTACTGAATACCTAACAATTCTTATAAGGTGCAAAGCGGTGGCAAATCAACTAACTAATTAAATTGGTGAGCGATAATTGCTTATTCTGTATATTAAATTTTTTTAGATATGCTTGTTGCCAAGTGCGGGATGCAGAAAGAGAACATGTTACGTTAATACACGCAATACTTATTAAAATTCGAAATGTAAAATTTTATAATAAAGTATGGGATTTTGTTTGGTGTGGTACAAGTCAAAGTTAGTGCTTTTTTTGTAAATCAATAGAGCAAATAAACTGTGCTGTATCGATTGGAAGATGCTTTGAGTTTACATAAATGTTCACAGAATGTATTTGCACTGTTGAATGTGAACGTACGTATAAGCTTGGTAGTAAAGTCGTAATTCTATCGTAAATGATCGTATAATATGTTGCGCATACATTATGCATGATACCAGCAAATAGTACAAGTCATGTTCGCATACGTTACGTAGTTGGTTATATTCTGTGGCGAAGGTCTGGGTGGATTTATAAACATAAAATTTAAGTTTGGGCAATTGGTTGTTGTTCACATTCAACATGTTGGATGTGATGCTTTCTGAGAGGCTTATTCAAATTAGTCTAAGCATAAATCTTGCCAGATATAGTAAGGCAGCGATATCTCTCGCTTCCAGTTGGACAGTATTCGCAGACTTTTTTTGGTGTAAAGCGGGAACAGTGTGTAAAAAAGTATATATCGTCTTTTGGAAAATATATTTGATGGATATAACAATGAACGGAGCCTCGTTATTTGGGTTGTACCTTTATCAATTGTTTGAGCGTGTGTTTGTGATATATTGGATGAATGGCAACCATTACACCTATGATCTGCTAATTATAAGTATCCCTTGTTTACTCTGCAAGTTTGCTGCGGGATATGTGCATAAGCTATGTAGCATCGATCATTTCCAAACTTCATAGATCTACATCCTCGTACAAGCAAATAATACCGTATATTATCGTGAATAAGCACACCTCCTCGATCATATGAAAATGATCGGCAAAACCGTCACGTAAATAACAAGCCTAGGGGTTAGTTTATAGTAATCACAGTAACCAGAATTGTATATAGAATTGAAACAAAAAGTTTATAATTACGTGTACTATGTAATGAATTGTTAATGAGGGGTACATTGTGCGGGTAATCATGGTAATCATGGGGGTGGGTGTGCTTATTCACGATAATATACGGTAATTAAAATTACACTAACATCTGCAAAAAATACAACTTTCGTTGTCCATAAGTATTAGTCTACAGCAACAACAACAACAACAACAACAACAACAACAACAACAACAACAACAACAACAACAACAACAACAACAACAACAACAGCATCAACAGCCGTCAAGCAACTGGTTCTCTAATGCACTGACTGCACTCACTACAATTATCACAACCAGCTGAACGGTCTCATGTTATTCTCACGTTATTATCCAATCTAATCCCATTCTCATCACATATGAACGAGCAAGCATACAACAGTGACGTTAACCAATTTTCAACACTAATCCAACCACAGCAAGTTGCATCAATACGAAGAAGAGCAACGACAACTGTCAGTATATCGGCCACAGCATTATTTGCTACAAAAGTAGCAGCAAATTCAACGACAATCACAACTAGAACATATATCCGTACAATCTCCTTATAATTCACAACCCGAGTATAAGCAGCCACAAGCTAATGTTTGAATTCAAAATTCCAAACCGACATACAATATATTAAATATTTCTTACAATGCGCCAAAGCCCAGCCGATAATTGTGCAATATGAGACCCAAAGATTGGTGCCTCTACGAAGAGGTTTCTTGTGAAGACAAACTCGATTTGCTGTAAATTGGTGCTGTTATACTGATTGTATTTCATCCAACCTTCTTGACTTGAGAAAAATCAAACTGTAAGTACAGTACTATATCTTTCGGAAAATGTTACCAAATTTAACGTCGTATCAACGTCTCGATTGTCAGCTAAGACAATATCTAAACTTGCAACTGACCTAAATTTGTAATATTTTTGCGCGGCCATACGAAAATCGTTATGCATATCTAAATAGTGTACGTGCGATACTATTATACCACATAGTCGAAGGAAAACATTTATTTTAACAATTAAAGAGCAAACTTCGATTTTGTATTTTGACTAGTAGAGTAGACGTAATTTTCTTGAACCAACTAATTAAGCAGCTATGGTTAGTTAATATTTATTATAAGCTCATGTTTATTACTGCACTTCATTGATTAAATATAGTTTTACAGCTTAAGTGAGCCATTTATAGGTATATCCGCGTATTAATATTTGAAAAAAAAATAATTCGATTTCAGCGAAAATCGTTTATTCAATCTTTATGACACGGAAAAAATGACACATTCGGAAAGAACTGGTTTGAATATGAAACAATGACAGCAAACACATTGTGCAGCTGATGCTAGAGCGAGCTCGAATGTTGCTACGTTTTATTAGCATCAAACACATTACCAATTTTAAATATTGTCTCAAAATTTACTATTTAATAAATGGCGTATCATATTCTTTTGCATAGTCAATATCCAGCAAAGTCAACTTACAATATTAACCGTGCATTTCTTGTATTTAGAGACTCAACCTCTTTTTTGGAAAAACGTGTAATATTACAAAGGTTTGAATTATATGATGTGCTTCCACATGGCCAATATGGTTGAGTTAACGAAATAAATTTCTGCATGTTATTGTTACTTGCCTTTGCTGGATATTGACTATGCAAAAGAATATGATACGCCATTTATTAAATAGTAAATTTTGAGACAATATTTAAAATTGGTAATGTGTTTGATGCTAATAAAACGTAGCAACATTCGAGCTCGCTCTAGCATCAGCTGCACAATGTGTTTGCTGTCATTGTTTCATATTCAAACCAGTTCTTTCCGAATGTGTCATTTTTTCCGTGTCATAAAGATTGAATAAACGATTTTCGCTGAAATCGAATTATTTTTTTTTCAAATATTAATACGCGGATATACCTATAAATGGCTCACTTAAGCTGTAAAACTATATTTAATCAATGAAGTGCAGTAATAAACATGAGCTTATAATAAATATTAACTAACCATAGCTGCTTAATTAGTTGGTTCAAGAAAATTACGTCTACTCTACTAGTCAAAATACAAAATCGAAGTTTGCTCTTTAATTGTTAAAATAAATGTTTTCCTTCGACTATGTGGTATAATAGTATCGCACGTACACTATTTAGATATGCATAACGATTTTCGTATGGCCGCGCAAAAATATTACAAATTTAGGTCAGTTGCAAGTTTAGATATTGTCTTAGCTGACAATCGAGACGTTGATACGACGTTAAATTTGGTAACATTTTCCGAAAGATATAGTACTGTACTTACAGTTTGATTTTTCTCAAGTCAAGAAGGTTGGATGAAATACAATCAGTATAACAGCACCAATTTACAGCAAATCGAGTTTGTCTTCACAAGAAACCTCTTCGTAGAGGCACCAATCTTTGGGTCTCATATTGCACAATTATCGGCTGGGCTTTGGCGCATTGTAAGAAATATTTAATATATTGTATGTCGGTTTGGAATTTTGAATTCAAACATTAGCTTGTGGCTGCTTATACTCGGGTTGTGAATTATAAGGAGATTGTACGGATATATGTTCTAGTTGTGATTGTCGTTGAATTTGCTGCTACTTTTGTAGCAAATAATGCTGTGGCCGATATACTGACAGTTGTCGTTGCTCTTCTTCGTATTGATGCAACTTGCTGTGGTTGGATTAGTGTTGAAAATTGGTTAACGTCACTGTTGTATGCTTGCTCGTTCATATGTGATGAGAATGGGATTAGATTGGATAATAACGTGAGAATAACATGAGACCGTTCAGCTGGTTGTGATAATTGTAGTGAGTGCAGTCAGTGCATTAGAGAACCAGTTGCTTGACGGCTGTTGATGCTGTTGTTGTTGTTGTTGTTGTTGTTGTTGTTGTTGTTGTTGTTGTTGTTGTTG